TTTTTTTATAAATACATACCAGAATTGATATTAAAGAGTTTTCTACCGATGATAGACAACAGACTGGACCTGAGATTTAAGAATGTGTTCATTAGAAAAATTCAATTGTATATATTTTTAACTTATTTGGTAGTTCTAGTATATATATTATACATACTCTCTATTGCTGGTATTAGGAGTTATTTTCGGATCACTTATTTTTAGTCTAAATCATTGTATTTTTTGGTAGTTGATTCTTTTTAGACTTCTTACCATATTTGGCTAAGGGTTAGCCGATTGTTTTGTAAAGCCTGCGGCTATATTAACGCAGCAAGGCAGTTCTCTCAAAATAAGAAAAAACCTATTCTTTCTTCTTCCTATTATTCGTATTAGGGAAAACTGTCAAATAAGTCCTTCTACTTTTAGGAAAAAGTCAATTGGATCCTCGAAGTTTTTCGTGAATCAATTGAGTCCCTAAAGTATTAAAAACCAACCAAATCTCCTATTTTATAGGTCATCTTTAGGTTTCCTGGTTGGTGCCTACGTGGAAGTGTAGTTGGCCGATTTTTGTTCTTTTACTTTATTTTCTTTGCTTACTTTTTTCTCTTTTTCTTTCTCTTTTCTTTTTTATCTTTATTTCTTTCTTTTTCTTTCCCAAAACCAGGCCGATATTTCTTCTCCCCCATTTACCCTCTTCTTCCCCCAATCCCCCATGTCTGCATTTTCTTTCTTTCTCCTGCCAAATCCGCTCATTCCGCTTGTTATAAACTTTCAGGTCCATCTCCATCTCGAACATAGAAGGGGCTGTGAGGCTGTGGCTATAGTGGTAGGGGTAGTGCCTAGACCTGTACAAAACCGGCCCGGCCCTCCCAGCCCCGCCCGCACAAATTAGCGGGCTTGGGCATATATATTTACCCACCGGCCCGGCCCGGTCCCAGCCCGCAACAACATATGGGCGGGCTTGGGTTAGGGTGTAGGCCCGTTCGGGCCGATAAGCCCGGCCCGCTACATTTAGTATATATACATATATATATTTTTATATACTAATTTATGTATTTATTTACATGTACACATGTATATTTTTATATTTACTAATTTATCTGTATACATATTTATAGTTTATTATGTTTAAATTTAAGTTTTTAGTTCATAACAAATAGTCCAACCAATATAATATCTATTTTTGTACTTAACGATAATACTTTGTGCATGAATTTTAAATTTTAGATATAGTTTCTCATTATTATTTTTGTGTAAATATTTTTTGTGTATGTGATGAAAGGTCTATATACATTATAAGCGTATTAGCAATTTTTTGAATGTTTTAATATTATTTATAAAGTATTAAATAAATTATATAGTTTTGAAAAAATTAAAGTCTTCCCGGGCCCGGCGGCCCGGTGGACTACCCGGCCCGCTCTTACGGGCGGGTATGGACATAGGGTTAGGTCCGTTTTTGCGGGCCGGGCCCGCCCACACACGATGGGCAGAAAACTTATGAAAAGCCTGGCCCGAGCCCGCCCCGAACCCGCTTTTGTGCAGGTCTAACTAGTGCCATGGCGGGGGGTGGGTATGGAGGTTGGGCGGGGGCGGGGTCGAGGGCGGCGGTGGCCAGAATGAAGGTAGGGGTAGCAGAGAAGTTGGCCGGGCGGTAAAGGTTGTGGGTATGGATTTTTTAGGGGCGGCAGAGACGGTGGCCGGTGGGTATGAAGGTAAAGGCGGAGGAGGACCAAAAGTGGTGGTATGGAGGCAGGGGTGGCTGGGCAGCGAAGGTTGTGGATATGGAGTAAGGCCGGCGGTCGGCAGAGATAGTAGCCGGCGGGTATAAAGGTAGTAGGGGCGGCGGAGGTGCAGGTAGGTGCGGCGGAGGTGGTGGGTATTTAGGGAGGCATGAGTGGCAGACATGGAGAAGTGGTGGTCTGGTGGAGGCTTGAAATCTTTGGCCGGAGAAAGAAAAGGAAAAGAAACGCAGAAGGGGAGAGGCCGGGGAGAAGAAGAACGGTCTGGGAGAAAGTTTTCAAAATAAAAGAAAATTAAAATAAAAATGCCAAGTAGACATTCATAGGGTTTGGTAACCGGGAAACCGGAAGATGACCTACAAAATAGAAGATTTGGTCGTTTTTTGATACTTTAGGGACTTAATTGATTCACGAAAAACTTTGAGGACTCAATTGACTTTTTCATAAAAGTACAAGAACCTGTTTGACAGTTTTCCCCTTCGTACTATTATATCATATAGCTAGTAAATCTATTATGGTATCAGATTAATCATGATCCTTGGGCATGGCGAATGATGATAGTACAACGTCCGGAAGCTCTATTTCTTTGGGCTTGGGCTGACAGTATTGGGTCCGGTGGGAGTGGGCTGGGTTCACCTGACTTGGGCCGACTTTGTAGATGTTGTTGGATAGTGAATTGAATGTATCGAAAAAATTATAATTTTGATTCTCCTTGATTTTTATTGATTATGTATTGTATATGTAATTATGTATTGTATTTATGGAAAGTATTGCCACATTTCAACTTTACAATTAATGTTTTAAAACCACTTTCTAAAAATTAAACGAATCTAAACAAAGCTTAGCTTTGCACACTTCGTATTTAATAGGGAAAGTTCCCGAAATATGACTAAAATAGTTTGAAAATTCCAAAATAGGACTGCCATGTTTTTATTCCCAAAATAGGACTAATTACTGCCAAATTTGGAAAATACTGTCATGTTTGAAATTTGGTACTGGCAAAACATGACAGTAATTAGTCCTATTTTGGGAATAAAAACATGGAAGTCCTATTTTGGAATTTTCAAACCTTTTTAGTCCTATTTCGGGTAATATCTCTATTTAATATTGAACTCTAATTTAACTAACACACAATTCCTGTTATAACTTTTTTATTTGTACTCCAATTGTTATATAAAATATATCAAAATTTATAACTTTTTTTATCTTTCAAATGACACCAATATTGAATATACATAAATTAGAAATTGAAAATGATAAAAAAAATAAAAAAAAATTAATTCTACTAATTTGTGTACTTTAGGACAAGTTTTACTGTACGCACTATTAATGTAGGGGAGAATAATTAAAACTCCCAAACTTTGAAGGGGCATGAGGTAAGTATCCCAAACTTGCACATGTAATATATTATCCCTGTCTTTATATAAAAAATTTATTGGCTTCATGCTTATATGATATTTTCACCAATATAATTTTTTGGTGTTAAGTACATAGTTTAAAATACACAAAACATGAAATTTTAGATTGTTAACAACATCCGAACATAGATTTGAGTATTTTAGATTATTTACTTTTTGTGATTATTTACTTATTGCATTAAATTTTTATATGTAAAAACCATATAATAATAATGAAAAAATAAATTTGTATATAGAGTTTGGGTTATACATATTGCATATGCAAGTTTAGAGTATTTATCTCACACCTCTTCAATGTTTGAGATATTTATTATTTTCCCCTTACTATTTTATATATATGCAACATTGGTTTCATGTGAAAGATAATAACAAGTTATGATTTGTAATTTTTTTAACAATCGGAGTACAAAGAAAAAGTTACAACTCCCAATAAAACGGATGTTTTTTAAAGTGTTAAATTATTATTTCTTTCTATATATTCAATATTAGTGTCATATGAAGTATAATAAACAGTTATGAATTTTGGTATTTTTTTGTCAACAATGGGGTACAAATAAAAAAGTCATAACAATTTAAAAAATATATGTTTTTTAAAGTGTTAAATTATTTTTTATTGTTATATACGAAGTATTCAGTATTGGTGTCCTATATATATATGAAAGTTAATAAATATTTATAAATTTAAATTAATTTCGTAACAATCAGAGTACAAATAGAAAAGTTATATCAGTTAAAAAAAACAAATAAGCAACCAGGGTTCAGCTCAAAAGTATTTTGTGAAATACTTTTAACCGGGTTGCATGCTTAGAATAAAACTGCACAAATTCTACCCCAAAGAATAAATAAAGTAATAAATAAAAGTGATTGAGTTTGTGCCTTTTTAATCTAATGTATCAGCCCTCATTAATTGTGTCCACGGTAAAAAACGATCCAAAATTGCAAAAAAAAGGAATATTTGGGTGTATGTACAACTTTAAATAAGTGAAGTTAAATTTATGTCATATATTTGAATAAATAAAACAAATAGCATAACTAACAATTTAAAAGGATAAAAAGCTAACAATTACCGTATACTAAGTTGCTAGCTATAATTACGCATAGCCTCAAATGCACTACAAAAGTGCTATCTACTTAAAAAAACATAATATAGGTTATTAATTTGTCTTCCCTTATTTATTTAGGCTATATAGCCATTTAACCCAAAAAAAATAGAATTAATTTTTATTTTTTTATATATGCAATATTGATGTCATATGAAAGGTAATAAAACGTTATGAATTTATATATATATTTTTTTGTAAACAACCAGGGTATAAATAAAAAAGATATAACACTTTAAAAAAACAAATATTTTTTAGAGTGTTAAATTATTTTTTTATTTTTGTAAATCTAATATTGGTGTCTTATGAAAGATCATATTTTGGGTGTTATTTTTCTAATTTTTATAATTAACTAGGTGATTATTGGGGGTTTGATTGAAAATTTGCTATTTTTCAGTCACGGCGGTATTCATTTTCAATATAGTATTTTTGTACACAATTTGACATATTTGAAGTAATGTGATTATAAAATTGCATATGATTAGTGTTTGTGGCGAGTTGTGAATTGTGATTGTTATAGGTTGAATTCGCGGTGAATTGTTTGGGCCGGATCATTTGAGGAGCGTGTTAGAAGTTATTAAGTGCAGTCCAAAAAAGAAAAGAGAAAAAAAAGAGAAGCAACGGCCAAAGAAAAAAAAAAGTGGAGGAGATTTGATCTTTCTCAAGCAGCCCCCAAAAAAAAAAAAAAGAGCATGAGCTGTTTTTTTTTTTTTTCTTCCTGGAACCAGCAGCCGTAAGGTAGGATCTGTTCTTTGCTGTTTTGTCAATTAGCCGCAAGAGTAGTATTTTTTTCTTCTTCAGAATTAGCCGCAGCAGAGTTCTTCTATCCATTCTTTTCACTTAGCAGCAGCCGCAAGAGATCATTCATTTATTCTTTCTTTGGAGAACACATTAGCCTCACTTTTCTTTCAATTTCTTCCAACGTAGTTTAGATTTCAGCAGCTACTGTAAGCTTAATCATCATTTACAGTATTAGTTCTTGATTTTGGACTGAATTTCAAACCTTGTTCCTCCCCAATTTGTAATTTCCGAATTTCCCATTTAAATAACTCATTCTTTTCTTTCTACTTTATTATTTATCTAGTGTCTTACCGTGTTGATCAATATTATTTTGATGTTAGTTTTAAGTATGAGTAGCTAATTCCATCTAGGGTTTGAATTGGGGCTAGGGTTCATGGGTTCTTGAGGGTATGAATTTAGTTTTTGAAATTCAATTAATTTTCTGGAAATTTGTATAAGATTGGTCATAATACTCTATGAATTTGATCACCTCATATATGAACGTTTGGATTTAATTCAATTCTTGTCTATGAGAATTTGAGTTAAATTAGCTTGGGTCTTATACAAGCAATCTGATCTTAGAAATAAGATAGGATTGTGGAAATTTGATTTAATTCTTGTCTATGATAATTGGTTTCGTTTTCTGTCCAGGAATAATTGGAAGTTAATTTACTTAATTCTAATCCCGAAAGAACACCGAGAACCCGAACCATCCAATTTGAACCCTGTTTTAAAATCTAGAATCAATTTAATTATTTGTTTACTCTATTTATTTTGCACTTGCTGTTAGTTAATTTTTCTTAAACCACCCCAAAAAAAATTATTTGGAAAGATTACCATTTCTTGTGCTCTTTGCCACTCCTTGAGAGACGATACTCATGGTCGGGTTATTTTTCGGATTAGCCAACTACGTTTTACTCACTAAAAATTACACCTATCACTATTCTAACTAAATATGCCAGAGCTCTAAGCTGCCATTAGCTTCCGTTATGAACTAGATTAATTTATTTAGCAAGATAGATTTTAACTGAATCGCTCTTCTTAGGAGTTCTGTGCATTCTTTTATTTTGGTTTTGAAGAACACGAGTTAACGAGTGCACTACCTGCCTGCTTGTTTAACCATGAGGCCCATTAATTTGGCAGGAATTATTGAAACACCTGGAGCTTTGCCACTTTTGCCGATAGGTACATCGCAATCCAGCTTCTGGCCACTCAGTGTCTTCCCCTTGAGCTCCTTCTGACCTCCCATTGCCTTCTCTGTGCTCCTACACTATTTTACTTCATAGTATTTTGGTGAATTTTAATGGAATCCACAGCAAAATCTGAAGAAGCAGATGTTGTTTATGTGAGTCTCTCTTTGTCTCTCTAATAATTGTAAATCTATGCTGGTTCAGCTTTAGGAGTGTTTACATTTGTTACACTGGATTTATCAACTTTACTGCTCCATAGAAATTGATATCTGGGAATATCCTAATATCTAAAGGGTCAGTTCAGTATTTCAAATTCACATCTTCTTGGCAGTTAACACTGTGAGATACCTGTCAAATGTCTGAGTTACTCTTTCATTCTTGAATTTTGCGGGTTCATGTATCTGTTATTTGATACATCCTCAGGCTGATCCAAAATCACTGATTAAGGAGTCTCTTTTAAAATGACAAGTTGAGATGGTTAGATCTTCAAATAGAATTCTTGTGTCCAATAATGTCAAAACACTACACCTTTTTGTCAGAGAAGTCCAAAAATGGCAGGAACCGTCAATTGGGGCACTGCTACCGTTATTGGAGTATTTGCTGGCATGCTATATGGAGGTAGCAAGGAGGCAGCAGCTTCAGTTGTAAGTATGCATTTTGTGAAATATACATTCTGGAGGAGGAATAAATGTCAAGCTGTTATGTTGCCATGATTAGCTGTGAGCTCTTTTGACAGAGCAAGGATGCAGAGGTGATGCTGAAGCTTGGGAGCACACCAGATAAGCGTGAACAGTATCGCCTGATGAGAGATGCCATGGAGAAAAGATTTGTACGAGTCACTCGTGGCTCAATAGTTGGTGGAGTTCGTCTTGGAATGTTCACTGCTGCATTTTACGGGTTGCAGAATCTTCTTGCTGAGAAGCGTGGAGTGCATGATGTATATAATGTTGTTGGAGCTGGATCTGCTACTTCTGCAGCTTTTGGTCTTATTAGTAAGTTGGATAAATCTTGCAATCAAGAATATATCTTTTTCAGTGCTTTCCCTGGTTTCTTAAACTCTTTTCGCTTCTGCATTTCCAGTGCCAGGGTCATTCTACTGGCGTGCAAGAAATGTTATGTTGGGTTCTGCTTTAGGTGCTATATTTTGTTTTCCACTTGGTAATATTTCTGGTCACATCTAGCTTCCCTGTCTATTCATTTATTTAGCGCTTTTTCTTTCCTCATCAGCACTGCTACCCGATACTCCACTTGGTTGTTGGTGCATGGTCACCAACACTCCTCCAACCTAGCACTCCACTTGTCTTGTAGATAGATGGTCATAACATACTCATGCATGCCTTGAAATCATGCATCATGCATGGAGTTGATTAAATGGACACAAATAGTGCGTTGATACTTGCTACTATTCTTTAGGCATAGATTATGTTGATTAGTTACTAAAGCACAAATATTTATCAGGTTGGCTTCATCTGAAGCTTGTAGAGAAAGCAAATGAATCCCAGAGCAATAACAACAAAGAAGTGAAGAGTGGGGTTGGTGCTGCAATCGAGAGGCTTGAAGGTCAATTGAGTAAAAGGACTGATTGAATGCTGCTCTGTCAGGGTATAAGGTTTTTGATGTAATTCCTTGGCATATTGAAGGAAATGGAATGATAATGAAGATAAGTAACAACAATAGGTGTGCATGTGGTGGTGGTGGTGGGGGGGGGGGGGGGGGGGGTTAAGTTAATCAAAAGAAGTGTCAGGTTAGTGTTGTTATCAGTTCTCTTTTAGGAACTTGCTTCTGTTGTTGTTCGCGGCGCATAGAGTGTTAATCATAAAAGAGTGTTATCAGTTCTCTTTTATGATGTGTGTTAATCATAAAAGAACACATTTTGTCACTGAGTGTGGATGTTAGCATCCTCTCTCATTGACATATACAAAGTATATGTTTACTGCAGAATCTAGAAAGTTTTATTTTCTGTGGTCTACTCAGATCGCTCTCTTTTACCAAGGCAACCATGCACTGAGAGTTTGAACTGTTGATATTACTCATGTCTTGTAAGATTGAAAAGATAACAGGAAGGCTGATTTTGATTGCTATCATTAACCTTTCTTGTGACTGGTTTTGCAAATTTTTCTTTTATTAGTGTTGGATGGTCGTTGATTGCTGATCCCAAACTCTTTTGAGACTAAGGTTTGGATGAGTTCTACTTTTATGGGAAAGCAATGATAAACCATATAGGATTAACATTGTTGTCTTGGAGAACATGTAGTCACTTAGTTCATAAGGGAACTTTTGCTCATTTTAATATAAAGCTTTTTAATACCACCTATTTTTTTGAATAAGCTGGATGTCTGGGTATTGTTTATTAGTAGCGGCCACCCTAGGCTGTGTAAAAAGTGAGATATATTTGTTAGTTTTGGACTCGTTGATCTGTGGTAAATTTGCAAGCGTAGCCTCTTTGATAGCCACCCGATCAAAGCCAACGTACACGTAGTATAAAGAAATGGTTACAGACTTGATATCGTGTCATCTTTTTCTTTAACTATGTAATTTTTTTGTTTATAAATAATAATGTTATTCCAATAAGAATGATTCTAAAGTGCTAAGAGGCTAAATATTAATAGAAATAGATGCAACACTTTTGACTTTGAGTGCATCTGCTAAAACTTAATACTGCCTTAATAGTTTGAAAAAACTTGAGTCTTTTATGTTTAAAGAGTAAATATTTTTCATGTTCATGTTTTCTGAACTAGATAACTTGTTTCCAAAAACTTCGAGGAGAATACTCCTCTAGATCCATTCTTAGCTCAGGTATAAATGTATAGTTAATGTCTTATTGGTAGTGGCTATACAAAAAATATCAACATACTCATATAAATTGGGGTTAGTATAAATAATGAAAGGGAAATCACTTGAACATTTTCCTGCTTAAGGGCTAGCTAATCTATAAAGGAGCTGTTCCTGTGAAGAGAAGAACTCTAGAAACCCCCATTTTACATTTTCTTTAGCTTCCCACCTAAAAGCTTATAGCTCTCCCTGTCCTCCATTAATGGCTTCTCAATAAGCTCCATATTTGTATACACATATAACCTCTACCATACAAACATAACAAAAAATTCCGGCTTCACTTTGTATTGTACCACCCAAAAAGGTTTGTGATTTTCTCAATTTAGTTTCCACGGTAAAATACTATGTATGATATGTGTGTGTATTAATTAGCGTGGTGTTAAATGCGTGAGAAGTGACAAGGTGTATCGTCGAGACTCATTCCTTTGAAGTCGAGAATATGAGAATTCTAAACATGAAAAGTCATTTTAGATATTAGGTAGTATTATTTACGTAGTATTATTTTATGAGGATATATGAAGACCAGATAAAGAATAAACTCAATAAAGGCTAAAAATATACAAGTTTGAGCATAATGCATGTTTATTTGCTTTAATGGGTACAATTTTTTTTAAAAAAATACTACGTATAAAAATATATTGTTATTTTTTATTATTAGATCACCAAAGCAACCTATTCATAGAATGAATTTTGTGAGAACTTAACTTGCTATACTTGGAAAGAATAATCTATATCTTTTTAAGTATGGGGATCACCTTTGTCCAAAAGTCTACACTTTTTACACCTTTAACAGTCAACTCGCGAGTTGACTATCTTCTCCACACCTTTCTATTATGCGAAGCATTTTTCGCCGCCTCAAGCCGAGATCCTACATTTGGGTGCCTCGTAGAACAATGTATATATGTGCTTGATTATGTGTGTTTTGCAACAATAATTCATCAACCCAAAGAGATGGAATCGCCCACTCTAGACGTCCTCACATCAAAACGTGACAGAAACGTAAGGTGGTAAATCACAAAATGATCTGAATTTCTGAGAATGGCGCCTTGGCGGCCTCTTTCCGGTGCACAGAAATAGTCATTACATTGGATAGATGAAACCCTCACACTATTGTTTGATTTGTTTCTAGGTAATCGAACATGATATCTCCATCCAACTATCTCCACCGGTGCAAGTTTGCAACAATTATTATGGAACATATATAGGAGTGGAGTGAGAGGTTTATTTGATGGATAGAAAAATTATATTAAAAGGGCCAAACCCTTGTCAAAGTTGGTCCCTATGTCTTATAACCAACTTAAGAGATCTAGTCAATTATCAACATGCATAACTCAAAATCCATATTGGAACATCATTTGGTCTATGCTACCAAACTATTTTAGTAGTAGAACAAAGAGTGTTTGTTTTTAATTCACTTTTGAAAAAAGACACTGTCTTTATTCTTAAAACTTTGTCATGTTTGATCGGTTTGGAGAATAATAAAATAATGTTTGTAATAAAAAATGTTGTTAAAAAAGTAAAAGATGTCTTTTTTTGTAATTTTTTTGGGTATAACATAGAAAGTGAAAAACAGTTTAAAATGACACAGTTCATATTTTTTTACTTTAAAGTAAGGGAGATTTCCCAAAATAGAAGTAAATGAAGTTTGGAATTCCAAAATAGGATTACTATGTTTTTATTATCGAAATAGAACTAACATGGCAGTATTTACTATCATCTTATAGGTGTGATTGTCAAATAGTTGCAGTACAGTGAATTTAACATGTCAATATTTATTATAATTAATGACAATAATTTTCAACCATTTCAGTATTTTACATACATGGTAGTAACAACTCACATTTCGGAAAGAAAAACGGTCTATATTTGAAGACAGTCCTTAAGTAGTCATTCACCAACTTAGTCCATTCGAAAATGTTTTTATTGGAAAAGAAACTGAAAAAACATTTTAGAGAACTGTGATGCAGAATTCCTTTGGAGATACTATAATAATGTGATTTTAATGATGAAATCGCTGAAATATACTACCTCCGCCCCAATTTTTTTTTAGCATTTTCAAAACTTTGATCAAATATATAATTTTATTTGAAAATTGTTTATAATATAAAACTTACTTTACATGAAATGTTATTTGTTAAAAGTACTTTTAAAAATTATAAAATTTATAACTTTCATAATATTATACTCTCTCCATCCCAAAAAGTTCTTCTCAATACCTTTTTGGGATGTCCCAAAAAATTCTTCTCATTTCTCTTTTTGGAAATGTTTGTGTGGCTACCATTCATTTACCATTTTTACTCAATCACAACCATACATTTCCACTTTATTCTCATTTTCTTAAACTCTGATCTAAGTCAAATCGGGAAGAATTTTTCGGGACAGAGGGAGTATTAATCAAAATCATGGTTCAAATTTTATGAATGACAAATATTTTTGAGACGGAGATAGTATTTTTAAAAAAAATACAAGTATAAAAAATTTATTTATCTGAAATCCATTATCAATGAGAACTTCTTGTTGGACACACTTATACTCACTTTATATCCACCATGTATGTGAAGATTTTTTTTTGTCTGTGAATCCGATTCACAGACAAAATAATTTGTATAAACATATTTTCTATGTTAACGGGATTCACAAAGAGAAAAAAAAACTTTGCACAAACATAATGTGTATAAAAATGGGTATAACCGTATAAGGATAGGTACAAACACTTTTTTTTATTATCAAAACCCAACAATCAAATCAACTTTTTAGAAAAAGTACGAAGTATATCTTAGTGAGATTCTATTTCGATAGAGAAAAAGCTTTCACAAAAGAAACATTAGAGTCTACAGTTCCAAATTAATCCTTTGTTATTGGGTTAAACCAGTTTTACAGTCCAGGTAGTATGTTTCCTGTTTCCTTTGATGAAGTTTATAAATTTCATCCTTACAGGCTCTAAACAATATTAATGTTCTTACAATCTTACTGATGCACTCTGCATAAGATTGTAATAAGATGTATATAAAAATTAAGCAACACATCCTCTCATCAATTTTATTCTCTCAATTTTTTAAAGATTGCTACACTTTGTCATTTATGATATACATAAATATTTATATATGGTAAGCTTTTCTTTAAAAATATTCAACTGCTCTTTTTTTTCTATCTTTTTTTTCTCTCATACTTTTCCACATTCTTTCCCTATTTTATTTTACACTATTCATTATTCCTACCACTTTCTCTTAAATATTACGGAGTATGATGAAGCCTAGTGATCTTTTAAATATGAAGGGAGTATTATGTTTTTTATCAATCCTTCTCAGATGTTTTTACTTGGGCTGCTTTCAGTTCCAAACCAGACTTAAATAAATCATATCAAACTTGCATAATTATAAAATTAATAGAAACTACACATTTATCAAACAAAACCAACAAATTTCAAATCCAAATAAAAATATAGCTAACGACCTAATGCTCTTTCTTGGAACCTTTTGAAGGCCCTAAGGCAGAGCCGGCCTGGATCATGTGCCACAACTGCATTTGTGCAGGGCCATTTAAATTTGATAAGTCCTCATATTTAAAATAATACGTAGTACTACTTATGCACTTATGTCTACATTCCACAATAGTAATTAAGCATAAATAAGGGCAATATATGAAGTTTTATTTTGTTAGATAAGTCCCATAATGAGTTTTTATTTTGGCGTAAAGGTATATAATCCATAAGAAAGTATTTTTATTATTCTAGTTGACATTTTCTTGTAATTATGTTCTCAAACAAATATGCATCTTAGATATAAGAAGCTTACAAAGGTGAACCCGCTATTATCTCAACATGAAGGTCTTGAAAAATTGGAGGATAAAAAATAGGGTGTAAGAATTTTGATAATGATTGGATCTGCGTTAGAGTGACCTCTTTGGGTGTCTCTCGGTCTCTCCAATAGCGTTCTTACCCTTGATAGTGTATATGTATCATGTATGCATAACTTCTCCAATAGTGTATATGTACTAATGTACTTTACCCAACGTTGCTTACACTATAGTTGTTCTCATATACTCGGTATTAATTTAGGTCTATTATACTTCCTCCGTTCTTAAATAAATGCAACGGTCAACATTTCACACTTGCCGAGACACAACTTTGACCATTAATATATATAAATTTATATTAGTAAAAATATTTAAAAAATTACATATTGAAAATTTACAATAAGACAAATTTAACAATATTTTTTTCATAAAAATATATTCATACATTAATAAATAAAACG